TTGATGCCAAGCCAGTTTCTAGGGATTATTGTCATCCCCATTAAGTGTTCCCATCCGCACTTAAGGATGACTAGAACTACCTCCTTCTATAGTCTGAACTTGGTCAGATGTTGTAAGCTGTATTCATCATTTAATCTTAAAAGGAAAAATATATGAAATTCTTTTGGGCAAAAACAAACGAAAAACCCCAAAAAACCCAAAACCACAGTGAGATACTACCGTAACCAGAGTGCAGGAGTGCAAGAGTACCTGGCTCCCGGACTCCCAAACAGGCCAGGTCCCGCCACTGGCTGCTGACAAAATCCAGTGGCAGAGACACAAGAGTTAGCGAGTTTGGGGAGAAACTGGAGCCTGTGTGCACTGCTGGTGGGAAGGTAAAATGGTGCAGCCACTGTGGGAAAGTTTGGGGGTTCCTCAAAACATTAAGCAGAATTATTGGATGGTCCAGCAATTCCACTTCTTGGAATGTACCCCAAAGAATTGAAAGTAGGGACTAGAAACGATACCGGAGTTCAGAGCAGCATTATTCACAATAGCCAAAAGGTGGAGACAATTCAGACGTCTGAAGACAGATGAATGGATAAACAAGATGTGGAATATACGTACAATGGGATATGATTCTGCCTTGAAAACAATGGAATTTTGATACATGCCATAATGTGGATGAACCCAAAGATGTCATGCTTTGTGAAATAAGTCAGACACAAAAGGACAAATATGGTATCATTCCCCCTTATATGAGGTTCCTAGAATAATCAAATGCATAGAGACAAAGTAGAATTGTGGTTACTAGGGGCTGGGCTAAGGGGGCAATGGAATTATTATTTTTAGAGCTTTTTTAAAAAAAATTTATTTTAAAGAGAGAGAGAGAGCAAATGGGGGGAGGAGCAGAGGGAGAAGGACAAGCAGATGCAGGGCTCAATCTCACGACCCTGAGATCATGACCTGAGCTGAAATCAAGAGTCCATCTGAGCCCTCCAGGAGCTCCAGGATTATCTTTTGATGGGCACAGAGTTTCAGTTTGTAACATTTTGTAAACATTTCTTTTTTTTTTTTTTTAAAGATTTATTTATTTAAGAGAGCACCATGAGAGGGGGGAGGGTTAGAGGGAGAAGCAGGCTCCCTGCCAAGCAGGGAGCCCGATGCGGGACTTGATCCAGGGACTCCAGGATCATGACCTGAGCCGAAGGCAGTCGCTCAACCAACTGAGCCACCCAGGCGCCCTAAACATTTCATTTTTAACTGTTTATGTCATTAGATCAAATTCTTTCTTTCATGCTTTCAGATTTGGTGACATGCTTAAAATGGCCTTCCCTGAAGATCTTCACTTATATTGTGTTCTAAGGACTTCTTTGGTTTTATTTCTTACTCTGCAGTTTTCAGTCCATCCAGAATTTTGTTATGAGATAAAAATAAACACTTTTTACTTAGATTTTGATTGCCAATTTTGATAAGAATCTCTGTTAAATAATCTCTTCTTCCTTCTGCTAATTAAATTGTCATCTTTGTAATATAGTAAATGATGTGGGCAACAAAAGCAGAAGAGAAATTATTAAATTTCCTTACTATCTACAGCCCATTGACAAGTCCTTGAAACAGGCAGAGTGACATTTCCTCTAGGGACTCAACTGCCTCGATGTTAATACTTTGCTAAGGGCAAAAGGCGATCTGAGCCCAACCCCCAGCACCCTGTGAGTCTACTTTAACATTTAAAAATTCCTTTAGAAATTTCCTTTATCTCTAAACCCCCAAGATACATGTTGGCAATAATCTGTGTTGGCAATCATCCCCCAAGCATATGGCCCATCAATACATATCTAAAGGGTCTCATGACTAAGGTTTTATTAGATGGTGATAAATGGCCTTTTCCCAACAACAGCTAGCCCCCTCAAGGTCCTGGAAACCTTGCTTCCAAAGTTCCTTAGAGGGACTTTATCTCTAACCCCCTCCCTACTTGAATGTATATAATAGCCCACCCCTCATGACCCCAGTGCAGCTCCTTCTGCCCACAGGTCCTGTCCCACCAAAGACATCTCAGGAATTCTTTCTTGGCCATTGGCTTCGAACCCTAACATCTTCCCTACATGAGTAAATTTTCACATTCTGGCCCACTTTACAGATGATTCTGTGCAATTGGCTACCACCACCTGTAAGTGGATGGCTGCAGACTACAGCCTCTCTCTGGGACGTCCCTGAAGGATAGTGGTGAAAGGAAATCTTTCTAGTAAGCAGAACTTCTATACTCATCATGAGTATTTCCTTCTTATTTTGTTACAAATAGGTTTGTATATATACACATATATTAAGGAAATATCTGTGTTCTCTTAATTACCTTATTCTCTTATCATGTAACATAAGATGTATTGACTTTGTCATTATTTATTAATTTTAAATCATAGTATTTAAACTGTGGGATATCAAGAGAAAACACTACCTCATTTTCTGGGGAAGGGATTAGTGTATTTTGCCTTGTAAGCAGGATAGTTGTATCATGTAAAGATGTCCTTGTTAAGCAAAAAGGAAGGGAATTTGAAGGTTTGGAAGACTCTTGGCCCATCCGTAATGAAACAAACGAGAAAGCCTGTTTGGGCGAGAGCACTAGGTGTGGCCCTTTTTGGTAAGATTAGTATGGATCAGCCCTCTCCACAGAGGCCAAGACTATGGAAGAAGACCGTATTTTTTTTATTACTGTTGCTGTCCTCTGCCATTTTTATTTTATGTGTGTGTATGTGCGTGCGTGTGTGCATGTGTAGGTGTGATAACCTGTCATGGAACTTGAACATGTTCTTCTTGTCATTCAACTTTTCACTTCTGTGGTAGGCTTTTATTCTATTAATCTTTCTGTAAAGAAGCCTCATGCATGGGGCGCCTGGGTGGCTCAGTTGGTTGAGCAACTGCCTTTGGTTCAAGTCATGATCCTAGAGTCCCGGGATCAAGTCCCGCATCGGGCTCCTTGCTCAGCAGGGAGCCTGCTTCTCCCTCTCCCGCTCCCCCCTCTTGTGCTCTCTCTCTCTCAAATAAATAAATAAAATCTTTAAAAAAAATATTCTGGATTCAAGGGGCACCTGGGTGGCTCAGTCGTTAAGTGTCTGCCTTCGGCTCAGGTCATGATCCTGATCCTGGAGTCCCGGGATCGAGTCCCGCATCGGGCTCCCTGCTCAGTCAGCACCGAGTCTGCTTGTCCCTCTCCGTGAGACACACTGTCTCTCTCTCTCTCAATGTCTCTCTCTTTAATAAATAAATAAATAAAATCTTAAAAATCTTAAAAAAAAAAACCCATCTGTTGATACTGGATTCTAAAGCTTTATTGTCTGATTTATTTAAAATAATCCATGCTTTATTTTACCACACACACCTACATCAATAAAATATTGTGCAAAGTCTGAACAATATGAACTTTCTCCTGTTAACTTCAAAAAATAAAACTGCTGGCTATTTTCCCAGCAAAAACGGGTTTGACAGAGTAGAGAACTGCAATCTCCGACAAGCAAGCTTCTGCAAAACCACAGGCAAGTCTGGGGAGCAAAAGAGAGGAACGCTCTTTTATAGAGAAAAGGGGGCGTTGGGAGGGGCTGTTGTAAACACAAGGTCCATTGGGTTAAACTGGGAGTTGGAAGTATGGTGGCTTCTCATTGGCTGAGCTGTGACGGTCTCTCATTGGCTGGGCTGTTGCTGGGGGAGGAGGAAAACCTTTCTTCCTCCTGGGGCGGTAAAGTAGTAGCTAAAGTAGTAGGGGCTGCAGTTGGCCAGGAGCTTACGGTGTGAGAGCTCCCCCTGCTGGCCTCCTGACGCCTCTTTTTTTTTTTTTTTTTTTTTTTTAAGTAGGCTCTGTGCCCAGTGTGCAGCCCAGCCTGGGGCTTGAACTCATAATCCCGAGATCAAGACCTGAGCTGGGATTAAGAGTCAGCTGCTTAACCGACTGAGCCACCCAGATGCACCCCCCCCCATTTTAAATGAGGTTTCCTTTTATAAATTTTTACACTTCCAATGTTAATTTTCCCCAGTGCAAAAAACATTCAAGATGAAATATAAACCATCTCCTTGGGAAAAATTAAAGTTTCACGATAACCGAATGGCATGAACTCTCCTTTCGCTTTCGCTCCCTACTGCTGTGCTCCCCGCAGGGGGACCCCGACGTGCAGGAGAACCGTGGGATCCTTCTGCTGATGTCATAGCCTCAGCAGTGTGGGAGCACATCAGGTGTTTCTCCTGACACACAGTCCCCACCCAGAGGGGGTCAATGTGTAAAACACAGGTTCATTTTCCTAAAATAACTGTGTGGCTTCGTATCTATAAAATGTGGCAAAATAAGTCTCGCGTATCGTTGCGCACCTGCCTGTTGTCTGGTCACTATCCATCCCCCCTTCCTTTCTAAGAGAACTGCCCTCAGTAAGCGGCGCCAGAGGGACGGGGCGGGTCCTCTCGAGTGGGATGGGGGAGGCACAGGCTCTGGGTTCAAAGTGGGTTCAAGGTCTCCTTTGCCACTTCCTACCCATTCGTCCTGAGCAAGCTACGGACCGCTTGCTCTTGGGCTCCCTGCTCAGCATATAAGGTGGCGGCCTGTCCAAGCCTAACCAAAACAATAGCAGCAGCAGCAAAAAATAGCAGCTACATTTCCCAGCCTGCCTTGCTATTAGGGCGAGACCTTTGAGAAACGAACCAGAAGCAGCTGTTGGGGCTTCTGAGAGAGCCCTTGCAAGTGGCAAGTCTTTTGGTCCTGCTATCTTCCTCCTGCCTGCCTGGGACAGGAAGAGATGGATGGAGCCCCAGCAGCCACCTTGGAAGCATGGGGTTGCTAGCCCCACCCTATCATTAGAGGAGAGAGCTGGAAGGAGCCCGGGTTTCTCAGAGATAGAATACATTAAAAATTCCTCTAATTTCAGGCCTCTTCTTCTCAGAAAATTACCTGTCAGTGTGCGGAAGTTGGTGTTGTTGAGGCGATGGCAGAGTCGTGTTCCGTTTCCTGACATCCTGGGCCTCTCCAGGTATCAGCCCGGCGCTCACCACCGCTTAGAGGATTCGGAGCCCCTGCTGAAGAGTCTTCTTACAGCCTTCTTCATGTCCTGGTTCCTCAGGCTGTAGATGAAGGGGTTTAGCATGGGGGTCACCACTGTATACATGATGGTTGCTACTGTGTCCTGGGCTGAGAAGGAGTTGGGGGGTCGTATGTATACCCTCAGGACAGTTCCATAGAACAGGGTGACCACAGACAGGTGGGAGATGCACGCGGAAAATGCTTTGCACCTTCCTGGGGTGTAGGGGATCTGGAGGACAGCTGCAGCTATGCGGATGTAGGAGACCACAATGAGCGCACAGGGGGCCACAAACAGGACCACGGCGCCCAGGAACACGTGCTGATTGACCCGCGTGTCTGAGCAGGCAATCTTCATCAGCAGGTAGGCCTCGCAGTAGAAGTGTGCGATCTCCCGGGCAGAGGAGCAGAACGTCAGTCTGTTCATGAGGAATGTGTGGACCAGAGCGATGAGGCCTGAGCACGTCCACATGAGTGTAGTCAGTCCCCTACAGAGCTGGGGGGAGATGATGGTGTGGTACTGTAGGGGGTGGCAGATGGCCACGCAACGGTCCAGTGCCATGGCCGCCAGCAAACAGGTGTCCAGGTTGGCAAAGGAGATGAGAAAGTACATTTGGGTCAGGCAGTGGGGGTAAGAGATCGTCCATGTTCCTGCTACGTGGCTGACCAACAGCTTGGGGATCAGGTTGGTGGTGAAGCAGATGTCAGCAGAGATTGGTAAGGAAGAAGTACAAGGGTGTGTGCCGGTGGGGATCGGAGCCGATGATGAGGATAATGAGTGTGTTCCCGGCCACGGTGACCAGGTACATACACAGGAAGAGCCAGAAGAGGACTTGCCGCTGCTCTGGGTCACTGGTGATGCCAAGCAGGAGGAACTTGGTGACTCCTGTCCCATTCTCCTTCCCCCTGGACATCCCACTTTGGCTCGGGGAGGTGACAGCCTACACACACAAGGGGGAGGACAAAATCCCAGCAGAGCCTGGTCTTGCTGTATGTGAAGAATCAGATCAAAGGTCATTTGTGATTGGATACATGACCAGAATTTTGTACCCATGGTAATTGCTGCTTCTTATCAAGTGCTTATTATGTGCTTATTATGTGCTACGGAGTTTACATGCACGATCTCTCTTAATCCCCGCAAAATAGGTACTCTTATGATTCCCGCTTTTCAGATGAAGTAGCTGAGACTCAATATATGTAGCTTGCTCAGGACCACATGAGTAGGAAGTGGCAAAGGAGACTTTGAACCCACTTTGAATCCAGAGCCTGTGCCTCCCCCATCCCACTCGAGAGGACCCGCCCCGTCCCTCTGGCACAGCGTACTGAGGGCAGTGTGACCGAATCTTTGACCTCAACCCAGCCAGCATGTCCTCTCTAGAAAGGACTTCCTGCCCTGGTTCCTGCCTGCTTATCTGACTGCATGCCCTTCCTGCCTCAGAACAGGGCCTTTGCATGGGCTCTTCTTGTCCCAGCATTTCTCTCCACCCGGACCTTCTCATGGCTGATTTGTCACCTTTGTAACTCTGTGGGAGGTTACGTCATTTGTTAACTAGTTTATGGTGGGTTTTCCCCATGAGGCCATGCCCTCCTGAGAACAGGGTTGTGTCCACGCCATTCCCTGTCGTGTGCCCAGTGCCCGTAACAATCCGCAGCACATGGTCAGTGCTCAACAAAGCCATCAAATAGAAGAATGAACTTTCACAAACGTATTGCACACCAAAATCGACCCGTAGAAAATATGTGGACAGCAGGCTAATGAGAAATGTTTTGTTGTGATTAATGAATGCATTTAAGCAAAGAAAATAGCAGGTGTTTCTTTCTTTTTTTTTAAACTTTATTTATTTAAGAGAGAGAGAGCGTGCACAAGAGGGAGAAGCAGACCTCCCCACTGAGCAGGGAGCCCAACACGGAACTCAATCTAGGGACTCTGGGATCATGACCTGAGCCAAAGGCGGAGGCTTAACCGACTGAGCCACCCAGGTGCTCCTGCAGGTGTTTATAAGAGCTGAGTGGAAGGCAGGCAGGGTGGAGTCATAGGCAAGCCCAAGGTTCTGTGCCAACAGGAATTTCCTCGAATATATGAATGAGGAGGAATTATGAATCTGGTCTATGTGATCCAGGACATGTGACTACTGTAGACCAGAGGAACAACCCAGACACTGCCTGCTGGTGTATTTACTTGGTTTAGACCCTTAATGTTCTACAAGATATTTCCTATTTGCTGACATTTTAAAAATCAAGGATTACAGGGCGCCTGGGTGGCTCAGTCGGTTAAGCGTCTGCCTTCAGCTCAGGTCATGATCTCAGGGTCCTGGGATCGAGCCCCATGTTGGGCTCTCTGCTCAGCAGGGAGCCTGCTTCTCCCTCCCTCCCCTCCCTCAAATAAATAAACAAATCTTTTTTAAAAAAATCAAGGATTTCGTATAAAATCTGGATTCTGCCTCTTGAAAAATCTGCAGACCTGGAGACATTGGACTCTCATTCTTGGCCAGCAACAATAGCCGGGGAAGGCGAACAGCTAATACTCACTGAGCACTCCTTGTGCTTAGTGCTGTACACAGATGCTTCTGGGACCCCTCAGAGCCCTCCTCTGCAGTCACTTTATAAATGTCCCTGTTCCACATGAGGCAAGGGTTGCACAGCAGAACTAAGTGATGCTCCCAGAGTGGCAGAGCTAGTGGTCTTCCTCTCTAGACTGCCCTGTGTTAGTTGATTTTTATCACCATGGTTGTCTCCTGTTCTGGCCCCTGGAATCACTTGGGAAAAGTCTACTCACTTTCCATGTGCCACTCTCTCTAGTATCTTCTAGAAGCTATCATTTCTCGAGATTGCCTTATCCCCAGGCAGTCTAAATTCTGAAGGACTTTTGAAAGCTGGGATGAAGAATTTGCAGAAGAAGTTCAGTCGGTTATGGAAATCTTACTTTGATTTTAGGTGCAGAGTTGTTCGTGTCTACAAAATTTTAAACAGAAAACCAAATGAAGTATTTATTCAGGACCTTAACCTCACCTTACACTGTGTCCCTGTCCCATTCCTTCTGGTCCTCTACTTCACACTTCATGTAGTAGATAAGTCAGAGTAATTTATTTATCCATTGGCTTTGAATGATTTCTTTGCCAAAATCTTAATATTAGATATGATTTCTTTTTTTAAAAAAGATTTTATTTACTTATTTGACAGAGAGATACACAGCAAGAGAGGGAACACAAGCAGGGGGAGTGGGAGAGGGTTCCCGCTGAGCAGGGAGCCGGATGCGGGGCTCGATCCCAGGACCCCGGGATCATGACCTGAGCTGAAGGCAGACGCTTAACGACTGAGCCACCCAGGTGCCCCTAGATATGATTTCTCAAGACTAATTTTTGCCTCATTATGAACAATATTAAGGATGTAGCTGAATTTTTGTATAATAGAAATTTCTGGCAACGAATGGATCACGAGGTAGTTCTTTGGGTCCCATCATGTTCTGTAGGGAATTTGTGTTGTAATCATGCTTTGTATGGTGGGATTTGATCTGTACCATGGAAGTCTGAATTCTTAAGGGACATCTGCAGTTACTTTCATATAACTTGAAGTAAAACAAAATGGCAGAAATGGATGAAATGGGGAGACTTTCATCCATCTGCTCACGCCATCATCAGTCAGGTGCGTGTGGAGCACTCATCTCGTCCCTGTGGGGCCACCAGAGAAGGGAACAGACCCTATATTCTAGGAACACTACTGCCAACCAGAAAGCACTTACTAAACTCAAAAATTGATATGTTTAAAGCCAACGGGGAGTAGAACTGAGATGTGTTGGAAACTCATGGTGAGGCAGAAGGGAAAATGGCAGCCTGGTCTGTGGCGGAGAACACTGGGAAACGTAAGACAATAAAGACAACCTTTTCAATATTTTCTTTAAAATTCCACATTGCCTAGTGTTTGCTTCAGGAGCCTTAAATGGAAACATCAAAAATCCATTATGGTTGTGTAGGACTTTGCACCATGCAGGCCCATGTCCCATTCCCTAGAATTCTCTGCTGCTCACTGGGCAAGACAGCTGACACCGATGCTCTGGCTCACCTTTCATCTTGAAGTGGATTTAATTGCTTGTTCTCCTTTTCCTCCTCTGTACAATGGGGATGGCCTGTGAGGACAAGGGAGAGGGTGACTGAAAATCCCTGGCACAGTCCTTCCATGTCCCGCGGAAATCAGCGGGCGGCAGCTCCCGATCGAGCTGCTACACCCTCTCCTCAGGACCGTACCAGACATCCTGCAGAATGCTGACAGAAGGAAACCCGGAAGCCAGGTCCTCTCTGCACTTAGAGGAGCGGTTAGACGAAAGGTCATGTGACACCACATGTGAATCTGCTAACCTCACATCCGGGGTGTCTGTGTCTGACCTTCTCCTCCATTCCAGCTTCCCCTGGTCTCACCTGGCTGCCTGTGCTGATCTTAATTCCTTCCCTAGGTTGCAGTTCTGGCCTTCACTTCTCTCCTCCGGGGCTGGCGGCAGATTCCATGACTGCCCCACCTGGAGCAGAGCAAGGGCGGCAGGGCTGTGGCAGGTGGAATGGGCTGATACAGCCTCCTACCTACCGGAGAAACTTGCTTGGAGCACTTCTGGAAGTGATAGTGCTCCCAGCATGTGCTCTCCCTCGGTGGTGAGCACCTGCTCCTTCCCAGAGCAGCCTGCTTCTCTTTGAACACTTTGGTTAAAAATGTCTATAAATTAGGAATTTAGGGTGATCCCAAGGTCTTATTTGGGGGACTGTGGGGTGTTGTTTGAAGCAAACAGTCATGCCATTGTGCAGAAGGTGAGGTCCTGGTTTGGGAACCTGGGACCCACAGTTGCTTGAGCAAGGTTGGACATAGAGCCACGGTGTGAGTTACTGGTGTGACTAAATTTTGCACTTTGTAGTTTCCAATGCGGTTAATTGATAGCATTCTCAGGCCATGATTCGACAATATTTAAAAGAGTTATGTTGATTCAGGGGTGCCTGGGTGACTCAGTCGGTTAAGTATCCCACTCTTGATTTCAGCTCAAGTCATGATCTCAGAGTTGTGGGATAGAGGCCCGTGTTGGGCTCTGCACTCAGTGGGGAGTCTGCTTGTTTCTCTCCCTCTTCTCCTCCCTCTACTCTCTCCCTCTAATAAATAAATAAATGAAATCTTAAAAAAAAAGTTATGTTGATTCAAATGCATAGACTTTCCCTATACATGACCTGACTTGCCTTTCTGCAGCCCTATGAAGTAGGTGGGTCAGATGGCAAGTGTGATCACCCCATGGATAATTATGGATTGATGGGTACCAACCTACTCAAATCTCACTGCTCTGGGGTGTGGGGACAATACCTGGGGTCTGGAGAAGCACAGTCTGTTCTCTTATCCTCTGGGTTGGAACACCGTCCCTTCTATAGATGTGTAGGGATTTTATGGTCCCCACCAAAGTGAATGCCCAAAGCTCCTGATTATAGGCAATCCACAGGGAATTTGTCCATGTTCTGCAGATCACAAACAAATCACCTACCCCAGGGGCTAAAGTGGAAAGAAAGAGGATTGCATTCATATTGTCGGTCAGGGACGTAAGAGATTTTCCTGTTGGGAATCTTCCAGGTTAGCTCAAGCCCCAGCTGGAATGTGAGCCTCCACAGATGCACATTCCCTGAAGAGGGCTGGCCATGTCCTTCCTCAGTACTCTCTGCCCTATTTTGCCTTCATCAAAGGACTGAGAGAGAGATGACAGAGCTAGGTCCTAATCTGGAGCAGACCCATCTTATCCTCTGATTATTCTGGATATATACTTGGGGGATTGGTTAGAATGGCATGAGATGTTGAAGAACTATCCATGATGTGATGGGGTGGGAAATGCCAGAAAACAGAGTTCGGGAAGCAGCCTGCATCATGCTGCTTCTGAGTGTTTGGGGATGAGGGTTCA